TTGACGGCCTTTACCTAATACCCTTAGATCTTTGTCTAAAATATTAATAAGCTTCTTTTTCAACAACTACAGCATCCTGCCTCTGATAGCTCCACTCAGACGTCTGAAACCAGGCAGATTTTAGCTTCTTGCGAGTACTAACTGGCGGTTTTGATTTTTTTTTTTTTTTTTTTTTTTTTTTTGAGATGGAGTATTGCTCTTGTTGCCCAGGCTGGAGTACATGGCATGGTCTCGGCTCACTGCAACTTCTGCCTCCCAGGTTCAAGCAATTCTCCTGCCTCAGCTTCCCAGGTAGATGGGGTTACCAGCACCTGCCACCACACCTGGCTAATTTTTGCATTTTTAGTAGAGGTAGGGTTTCACCACGTTGGCCAGGCTAGTCTCAAACTCCTGACCTCAGGTGATCTGCCCGTCTCTGCCTCCCAAACTGCTGGGATTACAGGTGTAAGCCACCGTGCCTGGCCAGTCTTGATCTTTTGAAATTCATGGAGAACAGCGACATTAAAACAATAACTAACAATTAGGCTTCCACAGAAATAGTCTTCTTTTATTATTTATGACTATAAATAGATGACCATATAGTACATGAGGTTTAGATTACCTTCTGGTCCCATATTTCACATTCTGCAAGGAGAAAAACCTAGTGGATATAGATTATACTCAATCAACTACCTGAAGAAATGTAAATTGGGAGTATGAAGATAACCGGAACCCTGCATTCAGGTCTGGATACACTGAAGCTATCTAGATACAGTGTTACCATTTATTCTACTATTTAATGATTAATAATATTCCATTGTCTGCTAATCATAAGAATGGAATTGTTCTCTTATAACCAGGATTTCTTGCCAGTCATGTAAATTTGGCTCTGGGAAACTTTGGGCTTGGTTATTCTTGTTAACCTTCCTTACACTGAGTAAACTTTGATGGAAAAATGGGATTATGCAATCAATAGAAAAATTATCCTTCTCATGAGAAAAATCATTTATGCTCTTCCCATTTAAGAAGTTATTCCGAATACATTCAAAACCATAAAAATTATGCTTTTAGCTCTTCCCATTTACGTTATGCCAAATACATTCAAAAGCTTAAAAATTATACTTTTAGGCCAGGTGTGGTGGCTCACATCTGTAATCCTAGCACTTTGGGAGGCTGAGGTGGGTGGATCACTTGAGGCCAGGAATTTGAGACCAGCTGGACAACATGATGAAACCTAGTCTCTACTAAAAATACAAATATTAGCCAGGCATGCTGGGGCACACCTGTAGTCCCAGCTACTCTGGAGGCTGAAGCAGAAGACTCACTCGAACCTGGGAGGCAGAGATTGCAGTGAGCTGAGATTGTGCCACTGCACCCCAGCCTGAGTAACAGAGAGAGACTTCATCTCAAAAAATAATAATAATTTTATATATATATACACACACACACATATATATAATATACATAAAATACTTCTAGAGATTTAGAAAAAAAGCTTTTTTTAAGTAGTAAAGACTCCCTTTTCACAATATTTTCATATCTGCCTTTATATTTTTCCTCTCATTATTACATTTTTCAAGCACATAGAAAAACCTATGAAATATAAATGTTCAGCTTATTAAATTGTTGTAAAATGAACATCTCTATCACAACTCAGCCAAGAAATAGAACGTTGGTAGCACTCCAGATGCCCAAAGCGTGTCCTTTCCTGGTAACCATCTTCCCCTTCTCCTAGGAGTAACCACTATTCTGACCACTGTCAGAACTAGAGGAAGGCATTTGAGGCACGGACCTTAGGCATAAAATTTGAAGGGGTGCCAAAAACTCAATAATCAAGACAAACACTGACTTGTTTTTTGTTTTTTATATTGAGACAGAGTCTTGCTCTGTTGCCCAGGCTGGACTGTAGTGGTGTAATCTCAGCTCACTGCAACCTCTGCCTCTCGGGTTCAAGCGATTCTCCTGCCTCAGCCTCCTGAGTAGCTGGGATTACAGGGATGCGCCACCACGCCTGGCTAATTTTTTTTGTATTTCTAGTAGAGATGAGGTTTCTCCATGTTGGTCAAGCTGGTCTCGAACTCCCGACCTTAGGTGATCTGCCCACCTCGGCCTCCCAAGGTGCTGGGATTACAGGCATGAGCCACCATGCCTGGTCACTGTCATTATTTATAGTCTTATCTCGTATGCAATGATTACACCAGTGTACTTACTGCCTTATATTTCTGAGACATGGGTGGCACTATGACGTCATCACTGTCTGTAGTTTGTGCTTCACTGACTTCAGAACCTTGTTCAGAGGATTCTTTATCTGCTAGAGAAGAGGTTGCAGTTATAGAACTGTCTCAAAGCACTCTAGCCCAAGAAAAGACCCAGCACACACATCTCCAATCCACTGTCTGGTCACTAGTTCCAAGTGTCTAGATTTTGTCTTCACTTACTAAGAATCAAACCCTCTTTTTCAAAGGTACACTTATTCAGAAGCTTGCTAAACATACAGGATTCACTTCTCAAAAAAAGAAAGGGAAAGAAGGAAAAACAGAAAGGAAGGAAGGCAGGAAGGAAGGGTGAGAGTAAGGGAGGAAGAAGGAAGTCCTTTTGTGGGGGTTGAAGAAAATGGCCAAGCTTGAGGTAAAGCAGTGCAACTGGGTGGGGCAGATTGTATTTTCCAAAGATGGCCTCTCTGGCCGGGCGTGGTGGCTCACACCTGTAATCCCAGCACTTCGGGAGGCCGAGGCAGGTGACCACCTGAGGTCAGGAGTTTTAGACCAGCCTGGCCAACATGGGGAAGCCCCATCTCTACTAAAAATGCAAAATTAGCCTGGCTTGGTGGCGCACTCCTGTGGTCCTAGCTACTCAGGAGGCTGAGGCAGGAGAGTTGCTTGAATCCAGGAGGCAGAGGTTGCAGTGAGCCGAGATCGAGCCACTGCACTCCAGCCTGGGTGACAAGAGACTGTGTCTCAAAAAAAAAAAAAGATAGCCTCAAATGATCTCTCCCATCCCACATGCTCTCCTCACAATGCAACTGACCTTAACACTGCTCCTATTGAGTGCTGGGGTCTTTGTCCCCTCCCCTTCAACTAAGGTGGATCTTTTGGACTGTCTCAACTGAAAGAGTATGGTAGGAGTGATGCTATGTGACTTCTAAGGCCAGAACACAAAAATGCCATGGACTTGCACCTGGCTCTCTTGGAACTCAGCTACCAACCTGTGAGGAAGCCCAAGCAACTGCTGACAGCCAGGAGCACCTGATCAGCGAGTAGGGTGAGCCATCTTGCAAGTTAAACCCATCAGTCCCCTAGCTGAGCTACCCCATCTCATGCCACATTGAGAGAGGAGAAATGAGCCTTCTTCATGAGACCTGCCTAACATGCAGAGTAGTGAGCCAAAGAAATGATCATTGTTGTTTTAAGTCACTAAGTTTTGGAGTAGATTGTTACACAGCATTAGATAACTGGACAGCAAGCTGTGCCTCTTCTGTAAAATTTCAAAATCTTGGGTTGTCCGTTTCACTGAGGTCTCAAAGGGAAAAGGTCTGAGGGGCAGCAAAAGCAAAGGCTGCTAAAGGACACAAGGCTTTGTCTACATATGTGGAAATGGCCTTAAAATCAGGCTCTTTTCATTTATTGACGGCCTTTACCTAATACCCTTAGATCTTTGTCTAAAATATTAATAAGCTTCTTTTTCAACAACTACAGCATCCTGCCTCTGATAGCTCCACTCAGACGTCTGAAACCAGGCAGATTTTAGCTTCTTGCGAGTACTAACTGGCGGTTTTGATTTTTTTTTTTTTTTTTTTTTTTTTTTTGAGATGGAGTATTGCTCTTGTTGCCCAGGCTGGAGTACATGGCATGGTCTCGGCTCACTGCAACTTCTGCCTCCCAGGTTCAAGCAATTCTCCTGCCTCAGCTTCCCAGGTAGATGGGGTTACCAGCACCTGCCACCACACCTGGCTAATTTTTGCATTTTTAGTAGAGGTAGGGTTTCACCACGTTGGCCAGGCTAGTCTCAAACTCCTGACCTCAGGTGATCTGCCCGTCTCTGCCTCCCAAACTGCTGGGATTACAGGTGTAAGCCACCGTGCCTGGCCAGTCTTGATCTTTTGAAATTCATGGAGAACAGCGACATTAAAACAATAACTAACAATTAGGCTTCCACAGAAATAGTCTTCTTTTATTATTTATGACTATAAATAGATGACCATATAGTACATGAGGTTTAGATTACCTTCTGGTCCCATATTTCACATTCTGCAAGGAGAAAAACCTAGTGGATATAGATTATACTCAATCAACTACCTGAAGAAATGTAAATTGGGAGTATGAAGATAAC